ATTATTAGTGTATAAGAATGCCTTTGATTTCTTGATGTTACTTTTGTATCCTGCTACCTTGCCAAATTTGTTTATTAAATCTAGTACATTTTTGATGGAGTCTTTAGAGTTTTCTATGTACAATATAATGTCATCTGCAAATAATGACAGTTTCACTTCTTTGTCTCTAGTTATGGCCTTCATTTTGAAGTCTATTTTATTGGATATGAGTATTGCTACCCCAGCTCTTTTTTCCTTTCTGTTTGCTTGAAAGATTTTTTTTTCCATCCCTTCACTTTCAACCAATGTGAGTCTTTTGCTGTGGGGTGGGTCTCTTGTAAACAACATGTATATGAGTCATGCTTTCTTATCCAGTCAGCTTCTCTGTCTTTTGATCAGAGTGTTTAATCCATTTACATTAAAGGTTATTATTGATATGTATTATTTATTGCCATTTTTGTTTATTGTGGTTATATTTTTCTTCCTATTTCTTCTACTAATTACAGCAGCCCTTTTAACAGTGCTAGTTTAGCAGTGCTGGTTTGGTGCTAATATATTCCCTTAGCCTTTTTTTTGTCTGGGAAGCTCTTTATTTCACCTTCCATTTTGAATGATAGCCTTGCTGGATAGAGTAGTCTTGGATTCAGATCCTTGTTTTTCATGACCTTGATTACTTCATGCCATTCCCTTCTGGCCTGTAGTGTTTCTGTTGAGAAGTCAGCTGATAGCCTTATGAGGTTTCTTTTGTAGGTAACCTGTTGCTTATCTCTTGCTGCCTTTAGGATTCTCTCTTTGTCTTTAATTTTTGGCATTTTAATTATTTATTTTTATTTTTATTTTTTAATCCTCACCCGAGAACATTTTTCATTTTTTGTTCAGATACAGTGGGAGGGAGAGAGAGGAAGAGAGAGAGAGAAACATCAAAGTGAAAGGGACACATCGAGTGGTTGCCACCCGCACGACCAACCAGGGCCGGGGACAAACTGCAACCGAGGTACGTGCCATTAGCGGGAACTGAACCCGGGTCTCTCTGGACCACAGGCCAACGCTCTAACTGCTGAGCCAAACTGGCCAGGGCTGGCATTTTAATTATTATGTGTCTTGGTGTGGGCCTGTTTGGGTTCTTCTTACTCGGGACTCTCTATGCTTCTTGTACTTGTATGCCTTTTTTCTTCACCAAGTTAGGGAAGTTTTCTGTCACTATTTCTTCAAATATATTTTCTAACCCTTGTTCATTTTCTTCTTCTTCTTCTAGAACTCCTATAATGAGGATGTTATTATGTTTCATATTGTCCCACAGTTCTCTTAGGCTGTCTTCCTGTTTTTTAATTGTTTTTTCTTTTTGGTTCTCTGATTGGACAATTTTTTCTATCCTGTCTTCTAAATCACAGATCTGATCCTAGGCCTCCTCTACTCTGCTGGTTATTCCTTCCAATGTATTCTTAATTCTGCTATGTCATTCTTCATTTCCACTTGGTTGGTTTTCAGTGCTTCTATATCTTTACTCATGCTGTCACGCTTCCTCATGATTATTACTCTGAACTCTCCCTCTGATATATTGTTCAATTCTCTTTTATTTATTTCATCTTCTGTCTTGGATGAGTGTGGGAGGACCCACATTAAACACCACTGTCAGTTCTTACTTTCCTGGGTAGATTTGCAAGCCCAGGAAAGTTTCAGTTATCCTCTAGCTTTTTGCCTGGAGGCTTTTTTTTTTATCCTCACTGGAGGACATTTTTCCATTTATCTTCAGATAGAGCAGGAGGGAGAGAGGGGGTAAGAGAGAGAGAAACATCAATGTGAGACGGACACATCAACTGGTTGCCACCCACACGACCCTGGCCGGGACAAACTGCAACTGTGATATGTGCCCTTAGTGGGAACTGAACCCAGACTCTCTGGTCCATGGGCTGGTGCTCTAACCATTGTGCAACCCACTGGGGCTGCCTGGAGGCTATTATCCTCTCAGTTACTTGAAGAGCCTTGGGTTGTAGCCCTCAACTGGATAAAAAAAATACCTCAGGTGTTCAGGATAAGAGGATTTCCAGCCAGTGGGCAGATGCTTGCTGGCTGTTTCTGAGCCTCAATTTGCATTTCTCTGGCCCAGCTGGGTGGTGTTAAATTCCTGAGGGAGGGGCTGTTGCTTCTCCCTGGGGCTCTAGGGCTCTTTGAATAAGATGGCTACTGTCCTATGAGGGAGTGATTTAGCACAAAATTCCCAGTGCTCTCCAAATCCCAAGTCTCTCCACACAGTTTCAGTCCAATCTGTCCCCCCTCTGCTGGAGCCCAAGGTGAGTGGCTACAGCTAATTTAGTGCTCTGTCCCAGCCCTATTCGCTATGGAGCCACCTTGGGATTTTAACCCCAAGGAAGCTGCTCATAGCTAAAACAGCTGCTGTCTGTGGGCTCCCAGCTTACCCTCTCATGCCTCCGCACTTCCTACCAGGCTTGATTTAGTGTCCTTTTTCTGTCCCTGGTTATATGGGTCCTCTCCAGCTGTGTTTCTGTTGTTTTTCCCTGACAATATGTCTTTATTTTAGTTGTAATTGCAATTTGGTCTTGGGAGATGGTCTGTGTAGCTCCCATTCACTCTGCTGCCATTTTGGAATTCCCCTCATTTCCTTAAAAAATTTTTTTTTTCTTTATTGATTTGAGAGAGAGAAAAGAAGACGGAGAGAGAAGTAGAAACATTGATGAGAGAGAACACTGATTGGCTACCTCCTGCATGCCCCCCCACTAGGAATTTGTCCTACAACCTGGGCATATGTCCTGACTGGGTATGGGACCAGTGACCTCTTGGTGCATGGGTCAATGTTCAACTACTGAGCCAAACTGGCCAGGCTGTCAGGGAACATTTTAAAAAGAAAAACAGAATGTGACAAAATGAGATTAGCCCTCTTCACCCTTGGTGCAAATCTCCCCAGTGTTTTTATAAATAAAGTGAACGGACACTTCTGCAAGAGGCAAGATGATTCTTATGTCTGTAATTTTAGGAGCAGTGTTTTCCTCCTTGTGTTCTAGGATTTGTAAACTTCCTGGGAGTAGTTCAAAGGTTGGCAAGAACTAGAGTCAGGGTACCAGGGAGCAGCACCCACCCCATGATGCAAGAGCTGGCAAATGAGCCCTCCTTTCTTACCTTCTAGCCCATGATTATCTCCGGCGGCAGCAGATAAAGCTGGACCTCTCATCACTGGTCACAGGATGAAAACTACATCCAGACTTCCTTTGGGTGGCAAGTCCGCTGTAGATGAATAGGGCTTGTTTGGCCACCTGCCTGAAGCAGTTCAGGTCCAGCCTTTCTGAGCCACTTCTGATTCATGAAGTCTGCTGGACCAGGTATTTTAAATGCGTCTAAAAAGCTTGAAGGAAGCACAGCATCTGTCTTAATGAAAGAGCTGGCACTGCTCACTGGTCAGGGGAATGTCCAATCAAAGCAGACCAAATGGAGCCCATGACCTGGGATTACATCTCAACCCCAGGTGACTGGGCAGTCCTTAGCCCTGCTCTTGAGGGTATTGGCTGCTTCTGCTGGCCAATCCAAACAGCAGCATGGCTGCCCACGCAAAAGTTTCATCCTGTTTCTGTATGCAAGGGTAACGGTGGCGCTTAGATTTGGTGTTGGTTGGACTCCCAGTTCTGCCCCTTGCTGTATGTACTTGGGGAAGTCACTTACTTTCTCTTAGCCTCAGTTTCCTCACCTATAAATTAGGGACAGTACTAATTTAAATTAATCCAGGTAGTGCACTTAGCACAGGACCTGGCCAGCAGTAAGTGCTGAAGATGCCTGCTATCATGTCATTTCCTAACTCAAAAATTTTCAGGGGCTCCCTGGTGTCTAAAGGTCTGGCCCATCCTACTTTTTACATTGGCCCTGAGTTCCTACCAGCTTAGGGTAGAGGAGAAACTTGGTTTTCTCACATTTTGTGCTACACATGGCCCCTGCCTTGTGTTCCCAATATCTTCAGGTGATAGGGGATGTTTTAAAGTAGCAGGCTTCATGGTCTTAGAGAGTTCACTGATAGAGATTCTTACAGTTTAGTTCCAGTGTCTTGAGTGGTTCTGGGCCCCACCTGAGGATGATGGAGATGCCAGCAACACTAAGCACATTTCCATTCAGTTTCACAATTGGCATCATGTTGTTGTTTAGTGTATTTGGACAGCAGGGATCCTGTTCCTGGAAGAGTTCCCTTAACTCACACAGGTGGACAGGGTGCTTCTCACCTAATGAAATGGGGTAGCCAGAGAGGCTGGTGTGAGGAGCTGGTTCTTGGAGTAATCTGATCTGGGATCAGGTGGATTTAGGGGGGAGGGGAGGGGAGGAGAGGTTATGCCAATCAAAAAGACTAATCAATAGGATGGAGAGTTCCAAGTGCCTGTCCCCGCCTATGGTGGGAGAGAGATTGGGGTGGGGGGTGGGGGCAAGCAGCAGGTGAAAAGACCTGACTCCTCAGCCCAAGGAAGGTTCACAATTGAGAGGCAGGAAGAGAAAAGCAAAGAGGGAAACTGAGAAGCGACAGACCAAGGGCTCGAAATTCCAGCCCCGGTGAAGGGAGTGTTGGGGATTGGGGTCAGGCTGAAGGAAAAGGTGGCAGTGCACTTGCACGAGGAGACTGGCGGTTAAGGGGCTGTAACCCCATTTACTCTAGACATTTTCTGACATTTCTTGTTTTCTGCTTAATACTTGAGGAGAGTGGCTTAAAGAGGCTGCCTTGTCCGGGGTCCCATTAGCTGAGTAACTTGGCAGGAAAAGCAAGCTCCGCGTTAAGGCTGCTAGAAAGCACTGAAGGAATAGAGCCTCCCTGTCCTTCCTCAGAGTCCTGTCACTTCAGGGGACCGCCGAGCAGAGCGTAGCTTTGAGGGGGAGAAAGCCCCAGATAAGCTGTTGCCCCCAACTCGCTCCGGCCAGTAGGAAAAGACGCGCTGGAGCGCGTGCGCGCCGAGGAGGAAGGACTTGCGCAGAGCGGCGCTGCGCAGCGGTGGCCCCTGTGGATGGCCGGGTTGGCGGGAGGGCGGGCTCTTCCGGGGAGGGCGGTGCTCGAGCAAAGAGCCTTCCCCGCCAGAACGGCCGGAGAACACTCTCGGATGCACCATGACCACCGCCAAGGCAGTGAGGAGGGCAGCGGCAGCCGTCAACCTGTGCACCTTGGTGCTGCTGCTCGGTGAGTGGCTGAGGGGCCGCCTTCCCTGGAGCCCTTGCGGGGCCTGGGCAGCCCGGGGTGTCCGTGGCCCCAGGGGCCGACCCCGTGGAAGGGTGGGGCCCGGGGCTACTGCAAAGTCCCTTAATAATGGGGCGTAGGCGTGGGTGGTGAGAAACTCAGCCAGCGAACTTTGGGAGAGACAGTTGTCGCCGCATCTGCATTTCTCCCTTGGGTGGCCCTGAAGAAAGTTGTGTTGTAGCCTCCGCCTGAATTGTTTTGGGAAGGAGAGGGACGGGGCTCCCGCTCACCCGAGCCTGTGCGGTTCCTTTCCTTTCTTTGGAGCTCCTTTTGCGCCCACTGCCCCCCACCCGCCCCCCTCGCGCTCCCCTCGCGCTCCCCTGCCTACCCATTGTTCCTCCGGAAGGGTGTGTCTTTTTTCTCCGGCTCAAGTCTGAGTTTCTGCTGGAGCCTCCTGAGATGGGAGGTGCCGAGGTGCCGTCGCTGCGAACTGGAGTGGACCTTACCACTCCCTGGGTAACCAGCTTGTGGACCCGCCCCGGGAGGAGCCCGGGCATCCCGGCTCACCTGCCCGGGCACGCGTGGCTGCGGCGCACCTGTCCTCTCCCTCCGCTTGGCGGGCTAGCTTCGACGCTGACTTCCAGAGGTGGCTACTCTGAGTTGCCCTACGGTGGGCAGGGGAGAAGGCGGAAAGAAGTGTCCGTAGGAGAGAGCCTCACTGCAAGATTTCCAAGTAGGGCAGCTGGTGCCCCTTTCCTCTCCCTTCAGAGCATAAACGAACTAACGTGTGTCTAGAGCTGTCTTCATCCCTGTCATACTTCTTCATCTAACTCGCCAAAACAGCCCCATGAAATCTACATCTTTGTCTCCATTTCCATCTCCCCACCCTCATAAACACCTCCACACACAGGCCCCTAGTTAATAGCCAAACCCCTGGAGCATAGTAACAGGCCCCTTGACTAGCTTTTCTTTATTCCTTGGGGTTTCCCATTGCAGTCCCCTTTGTACATCCTGCCAGATCAACCTTCCGTCTCCATCTGCACTTAGCATTTATTGAGTATCTGTGGGGTACATGCATTCTCAGAGCACAGCATAGGGGCGGGGTTGAGATATGCTCCAAGTACCTACATGAGAAGACACAATGCATGAGAGGTTAGATGTAAAGCAGTGGTTCTCAACCTTCCTAATGCCACATCCCTTTAATACAGTTCCTCATGTTGTGGTGACCCCCAACCATAAAATTATTTTCGTTGCTACTTCATAACTGTAATTTTGCTACTGTTATGTCTTAGGCAACCCGTGTGAAAGGGTCGTTCGACCCCCAGAGGGATCGTGACCCACAGGTTGAGAACCGCTGATGTAAAGTGATTTGGGCATGCAGAGGAAGAGGGAGAAAAGAACTGTCCGGCCCAGCGGTGTGGCTCACTGGTTGAGCATTGATCCATGCACTAACAAGTCGCAGGTTAGATTCCGGATCAGGGTACATGCCCAGCTTGTGGGCTCGATCCCCAGTAAGGGGCATGCAGGAGGTGCCAGTCGATGTTCTCTCTCATCCACGTTTCTGTCTCTCTCCTCCCTCCCTCTCTCTGTAAAATCAATAAAGGAAAAAAAAATTTTTTTAAAGAAGTGTCGGTAGGCGGTGGCCTCACTTCACAATATCTTTTGTGAAATCAATTATCTGTTGTGAAACAGAGTTCATGGAAAGTAGGGAGGGTATTTGAATTTGGTTTCTGGGGACAGGTAGGTTTTGGACATGCGTGAAGTGGGGCAAGATTCCAGGAGGATGAAAGCAGGTAAGAAAGGGCAGCAGAGTGTACAGGGTGAGCTTGGGCAACAGTCATTTGGTGTCACTGCAGGGTAAGTATGCCCACCCTGAATGTGCCCTTTGGGAGTTTAGATTATATTTGGCAGGCAAAGGAGAACTCTTTCTGGGCCTTTCAGGCTCAGAACCATGCATTTAGGAAGAATAATCTGGCCACAGTAAAGAGGAAGGACTGTGGTTGAGAGGAATTGGAGGCAGGGAGGCCAGGGCAGAGACTGTCACGGGGCCTGAAGAGCTGGGAGGGCTTCAGATGATGATGGCTGTGGCAGAGGGGAGAGACACTTGCGGAGCTTGAATGGATGGAGTGACTCTCTTCCAAATGAGCTGATCTCTCCCTAGTCCTGGAATGCACCTTTGGTCACTGCTGCCTGAATCTATGGTTGCTTCCGCTGAAAACCCAATTTACTTATCAAGTCCCATATCCTCCAGCAACATTCTCTGAGCAGTTCCCTCATGGTGTGGTCTACCACTTAATTCATGTATTCATTCAGAGGTCTTTTCATTCAGAAAGCATGAATAGGCCATGCACTGACAATGCTGAATGAATGGTGTGCCCCTGAGAAGGAGAACCCTTTGGGTGGAGTCTGCCTCACTAGAGAATCTTCCTACCAGTGATTGGCAGCATCAGCTCTAGAATCAAATGCCTGGCTTCAGACCCCAGCCCCGCACTCCAGTAGGTTGCCTAACGTTTGTATGCCTGTATCTTTGCCTTTGAAGAGATATCACCACTTACATGAGAGAAAGGATAATAACAGTATCTACTTCATAGAATGATTTGAACATTAGTCATTCAATAAATACTTATTGAGTGTCAGCTTTGTGTCAGGCACTGTACAAGGGCCTGGGGATGCAGCAAGAACAGACTCTTCCCTGCCTTTGGGAAGCTGACATTATAGTAGGGGAGATAGTAAATAAGTAAACGAGTAAATAGACACGGGGTGATGGTAAAGTAAACATTTACTAATCTGTAATGCCCAACCGGGTCCAGGATTGGACCTGCAACCCAGGTACATGCCCTTGACTGGGAAGTGAACCCGAGACCCTTCAGTCCTTGGGGTGATGCTCTAACCACTGAGCCAAACTAGCCAGGGCAGCTGTTCCATTATTGATGTTAACTTCAGTTATTTGGTAAGGTAAGGTTTATCAGATTACTCCATTGTAGAGGCACCTTTTTCCCTTTGTAAATAGTACATGATTTATTGACATTTTGAGATTGTGTGGTTATCCCGTTCCCCAAAAATCTTTCACACAATGTTTCAGCATGCAGTGGCGATTCTTCCCTAAGTCCGTTATCATGGAAATGTTGGTAGATGGCAGTTATCTATGCCTATTTTCCTTTATACGTTATTGACATTCTTCAGTAATGAAGAACTACATCTCTCTTTTTCATTTCATTTGTTTATTACTAGTATGGACTCAAGGATGTTTGCTAAGATGGCATTCCCGTCATCTCATGTGCCTGTTGATGTTCAGTGATCCCAAATTTGCAAGTGGGAACCCCTCCAAGCTTCAGTGTCCTTTTGCCATGTTTCCATAGTTCTTGAGCACTTCCTTTCTGGCACAGAAAGAAATTCGGGACACCTTTTTTACCTCTGCTACCTCAGCCTTGGAATCAGTGGATTCCCTTGTTCCTTTTATTGGGGAATGGTATTTAGAAATCATGCTCTGAGTGCTAGGTGTGCTCAAGGCACTGAACTCATGGCTTCCAGGCCCTGCCTGTTGTCAGAGCTAGGAAATAGAGTTTTCATAAAGTCATAGATTTAGTGTGTTACCATTAAGGCTAATCCGATAATTTTATTCTTCTTCACCTTCCTCTCTTCCATCTTTGTGACTTCCTTCTCCACAGTGAGAACTCTGTTCTTATAGCATCAGTATATTTTCCTAATCACAAAATAGTTTCATAATTGCTGTACCAATGCCACTACCAAACACAAAATTTACTCTATACAGTTTAAGATTTCTTTGCCGTTCTTTTTATTTTTCCATCTGTCCTACTGGATATGTACAGAATACTAGATTTTAAAGTTACTTAATCATTCTTTTTCTTCTGTGTGGTTATGTTATTGATTTGTATATAGTTGCATTAATTTGTTTCTGTTTCTATTCAATTTTAAGGGTATCCCCCTTGCTTTAATTTTTGAATATGTAATATATTAACATGGTTCAAATCACAACAATATAAAAAGATATGATCAGAGAAGTCTGATTACATTTCTCCCCTCCTCTATAGCATATAATTTATTTCTATTTTATCTTTCTTATTTCTGTTTGCTGATATAAACAGATACATATGTTTATTTCTCACTCCCTTTCTTAAACAGCAGGTAACACACACTGTGTACTCTTTTATACCTTGTTTTTGTCAATTAACCATATGTCTGGGAAATCATCCCATATCACTTTATAGACATCGTCCTTATTCCTTTTGTATAGCTGCATAGTACTCCATGGAGAGGAGATTTGATATTTCATTTGGCTATTCTTTGGTGGTTAATGTTTTATATAGTGTGGCCAGGGGAGGGTCTCTTTAAAAGAGTGACAGAGTAGACTTAAGGAAATGAGGGAGCGGACCATGTGACTGATGGGGGACCAGTATTTCAAGCAGGGGGCGGAAGCAAAGCCCTGCGATAGGCTTCAAACATTTAAGAAACTTCAAGGAGATCATTTTACTGGAAAGTAGATGGAAAGGAAGTTGTAAAAGGAGTCAGAGCTGGATCCTAGAAATCAAGTTTTATGGGCCCTTTAAAGACTGTGACATTTTTACTCCCAGTGAAATGGAAAGTTTTAGAGGGTTTTGAACAGGAGTGAACTTATGACGACCAGAGGCCCTGGCTGGTTTGGCTCAGCGGTTAGAGTGTCGGCCCATGCACCAGAGAGTCCCGGGTTCAGTTCCCACTCAGGGCACGTACCTCAGTTGCAGTTTGTCCCTGGCCCCAGTTGGGGTGGTATGGGTGGCAACCAGTCGCTGTGTCTCTCTCACATTAATGTTTCTACCTCTCTCTTCCTCTCTCCTTCCCACTCTGTCTGAACAAAAAAATGGAAAAATGTCCTCGGGTGAGGATAAAAAAAAAAAAATTATGACAACCAGAGTATTTAAACGAATTATTCTGGGTGCTGGGTGGAGAATAGTCTGTAGAGGGCAAGGGGCGAAGGAGCAGCATGATTCGAGGCCGCAGGAACA